AGCTCCCACATCTCCCAGTACAACGGCGGTCTCCACTCTTTCTTGCTTCTGCTATGTCTGAACTGGAAAAGGAAGGAGGGAGCGCGCCCTGACCCTGCCAGCAGCAAGAAGCAGGTGAGTTCCTCCTCGGAGAGGAAAGGACTGGCAATGAGGACACAGATTTGATTTATTCAGAGCCAGGACCACCATCCCTGCTGTGATTTGCTCTCCAAAGAAGACACCGGTGTCTGTGATCCCTCTGCTGTCCCAGGGATCGAGGCAGGGACTGGGATCCAGCTCCTGGTGAGGCTCACACCAGTTCCCAGCGCAGGCACACGTCGTTCAGCTCAGGCCTCTCTTGCTCTGGGCCCTGCCTGCGCCTCCCGGTCCCCTGCAGAAGGCACAAATAATGTGAAATCGCTCCCCTATCCTGGCCAGGGCTCGCTGAGAAAGTTGTTGTGGGCTCAGGTTTCAGGCTGCTGTCGTGCCGAGAGGTTTGGGGACGGGAATGGCACTTCCCTCCATCTGCCCGCCGCTAATCCCCAGACAAACGCAGCTCTCCCATCTGTGCAGCCGGAGCCGCCGAGCCCATCACACCAGCCACTTAATCTAAATGGCTTTGGCCAAAGATAAGGTCATTAATTACACTGGGATTAGAAAACTCTACAGGCCTGGCGTGGCTTGGCTCGCCATCAATTAAAGCCCTCGGTGCCCGAGCCCGGCCCAGCATCGCAGCTGGAGAGCTCGAGCTGCAGGAGACCCCTGCCCTCGCCCATGGGGCATCGTCCCCTCGCTTGGACACTGCGGTGCTGTGGCTCCTGTCCCCAAGCACCCACAGGGATTGCTGATGCAGGTCCCAGGGGACATCCCAGGAGGAGCACGGGGGCCTTGGCAGCCAGCGCTGCCCAAATCCTCGTGTCTGGCAATGAGTGGTACCCGGGCAGCACCCAACTGCATCCCCAACCTTCACCAGCCCCAGCAGCACCACACCGAGCTCAGCCCCGAGAGAGGTGGAGCTGGCAGAGCCTCATGGCCCTCACTGCAGCCGCTGTCCCCAGAGCTCAAAGCCCCTTGGCTGATCTCGGAGCCAGTGTCTGTCCTTGGTGGCCAAGGGCTCATCTTTCCTTCTGTTTCCACCCTTTGCTTCCCTGTTCTCACCACGTTTTGGCTGTGAAATGCCCTGATCTGCTCATCCTGCAGGAAATTCGTCACCAGTGCGGTGCTGGGGTGGGACGTGCCCCTGTTCTGCTGTGCTGGGGACAGCCGGGGCCGAAGCCACCGAGGTGACAGGAGTTTGGCCTTACCCCTCCTCGTAAGGCAGAGCCAGCACCGTGGGGGGCTCTTACAGGGGCTGGGCTGTGGCTCCGTGCCAGGAGGTGGCCCAGCTGCCATCGCGCCCAGCACCGGTGACCAGCTGGTGTCTGTGCCCCCTTTGCTGGCGTTTAAAGGGTCCGGCTGTCCCTTAGCTCCCAGCTGAGGTCCTGGGCGGTGACACCATCCCGGCTCTTCCCACCGCAGTTCCCACGCCGCAGGGACCACCCTAGCCCGGTGCCTTGGACGGGCTGGGGGCTGTCAGGGGGGACAGTGACACCGGGAACAGTGACACCGGGGACGGCTGCTCCTGCAGACGCAGC